GGTTAAACTTGTATTTTCATTGAAAGTTTTAAGTCTCGGATTGAAAAACAATAATTATAATTGTATCGATTTAATTCTGTTTATAAATAAACTGATTTGGCAACACTGCCTATGTGTGCAGTGTTCATATAACCTTTATGCTGTGATGGCACTTTTTAATCTTGATCCATATTACTGAAAGTCTGGGAAAACTGTTAGTATAAACACAAAATAATGGCTACTAAAAGTAACACTTAGGTAAAAGGATCCAATTTAGAGTAAACCTTTTGAACAGTAAAATTAGAATTTGATGTTTTTCAGATCATCTGCGTAGCTCTTGGTTATAGTATCAACAAATTGTTTTGTTCAGCATGATGAGGAACATGCAGACATTTACCAGGCTTTTAGTTGTAGTTCTCAGCAAAACACATCAGTTTAACGCCTCTAGGGGGCAGCAAAAGGTTGTGCCTGATTACACCCAGCACTCTGTCCCTCATCTCTGCACAGGCGGGAGACAAAAAAAATCTACACGCCTGAGTGAGTATGAATATGGTGATTTAGTTTGATCTTCTAGAAAGTAACACTCGGTTTTCTTTCTCTCGTTTTCTTAGCTCATAATCCACCAACCTGCTTTAGCTGGAGGGTCTGCTCTCCGCTGGAGGAGAGAGAGCAAACAGCTTTATGAAGAACCTTCTCAATGCTGCCTGATGTGCCAGAGTCTGAAAGCAAACTTGTCTTGCAGAATGTGCCCTTGTATCACTTGTAAAACTAAGATACATGATCCAGTTACTTCTTTTTCTGCCTCTCGTATCGGCCTGTAATTTACCACCTGAAAATGAAACCCATTAATCTGTGAAATGCTTTAAAAAAAAGGAGGTTGTATCTGGCAATAACGCACACCAGTAATCCATATTTTAGGGCTTCAGGCAGATCATAAGTGCTCACAGCAGTGTGCTGTCCTTTCTTGGGCTGTTATTGTATTTCCCTCCTATCCTCCTTCTGCTCCTCTTCTAACTTACTCCTCCCGTCTCCCCGTCGCAGGAATGTACCTTATTTCCATGGAGTCCATCAAATTTGCTTCCTGTTGCAACAGTTCTGACCTTTGCCCTGCGTGTGGCCATTCCAAATGCCAGTTCAGTGAAGCAGAGAAAGCAAGACTCAAACAGTCCTGGCATTTGCCAGACTGCGTCCTTCCCTGCCTCCTTTGTCATTTTTGTTCAAACTGCGCAATGTTTTTTTTTTTTTTAATGTATACATATATCAATTTATTTTGTCACTTTCACACTGTGACCATGAGTCACGTGTGTTACTATGTCTTGTGTTCGCTGGAAGATTGGCAGGAAATCTCCGGACAGCCAGAGTCTGGAAGGCAGCCGAGTCCGAGTTGTCGGTGAGCTCCAGGGAGAACGAGGGACCTGCAACAAACTCGAGAGATGAAGAGAAGTGAATTGAGACGGAAGGGGGAGGGGTTAATCCATATGTCAGACTATGAGATGTCTCCAAGGCAACAGAAGCTGTGATGAAGGTGGGATGGCAGCAATAAGGGGAGGGGAGTGAACAAAAGTACGTGTTTCACTTCTGTTTTCCATAGTTGATCATAATGGGTGACAACAAAAGCAACAGACTTGATAAAGTCGAGTGTCAGTGAGTCGTGGGCTGAAAGGCCACTCAGTGCGGAGGAAGCCATCACTTCAAAAACGGCACAAAAAGGGGATTTATTTCTACAGGTGCGTCCTGAGGTCTGATGAAACGACAACAAAAAAGAAGCATTCGGCTCAAATGACCCATGTTGTACTTAGAGAAAAAAGATGGAGAACGCTACTGCAACTGTGACATGGATGTCAGTTAAAGCAGTTCTGTCAGGAAGAATGGGCCCACTCATTGTTTAAAAGACAGTTTTACCAAAATTGAGGAAATCTAACTATATGACACAGAATTTAAAAAAAAATTCTCTAAAACATTTAGCAAACACAAAATGTATGTAACTCTAACAGACCTTGAGCTAAAGAAGTTTAGTCTTAATAAATGCCAAAAACTGATATAAATGAGTTTGTCTTTGTCAACATCTGATAGACTGTGTGAACATGTATCTCTCCAGTAACGCGTGCTGAAACTTGAACATTCACAGGATTTCTTGCGAGGCTTTTTGTTCAGCCTCCTTTCTGAATCCGGGTCCCGACCACTTCTTCCCCGTCTGTCCAGGGACCCGATGAGACGTCAGCAGGAGTAACGATTCACAGCCATGCACATTCTGACTTTCATCCTCCAAACGATTTTCCTTCTTTTCTTTTTAAACGTGTCATTGTCCTGGTCTCTGCCTGCATCGATTCGGGTCTGCGAGGAAGCGTACTTCTTCACCTTGGTCTCTAATAGCTCACGCGTTCCTCCTGCTCTGTGACAGACAGAGGTGTGCGGCGTGGCCTGCGTTAATGGGAGAAGAACAGATGCATTAACCTTTTCTCCGAAGGCCCACTGAAGGTTCTGAATTGATCTCATTATTTTAAAGCTGCCCACAGTACTGCACAGAGATGTTCTGTTCACCGCTCTTTTAGACAATTAAATAAAACGTGTGAAATCACTGTTAAAATTCTATCAAGCAAACATATTACATTCTAAGTAATAAGTTGACCCAGGCCATGTCTAGTGTAAGTTTATGTAAAAGCTTACTTTTTTGTTTAAGCTTTACATAATATTCACTCAACAAAAGCCTATGTGATGTACCGTTTTGATTCTTGAGAAATCGTTCAAAGACAACCTTTGCCTTTTCCACTGCTCACTCCTTCAGACTAGCAGCAGCAGCAATTAGCAAACACCTGATGAAACTCTGCATCTGCTGAGCTCAATATAGGAACTTCTTCTCAGTCCAACACACCTAAGCATGGTGGTTAAAGGCTTAATGGAGAAACGTGATAACCTGCGAAGGCGGAGTGTCAGAGTCGGTGCATCTTAAAGAGACAGAGGCCAATTCCAAGTCATTAAATTGTAAAGTCAAATTTCTCTTAAGACATGTTTTATATGTGCAGCCTTTTTTTTATAACAGCTGGTAACACAGTTACTTGGTTGTGCTATAAAATGGCACCAAGTGCCTGGAAAATCCACGGTACTGTCCCTTTAACTCCGGTTCCTGTTCTAAAACTAGCAGGTCGATTTCTGGCCTCTCTCTTCAGGACAAACAGCAGTTGGTTCAGATGTTCTTCAGTAATCCATATAATAAATAGATTTTTCCACAGTTGATCGCATCAGGCAGAAACATCTGAAAGTGAGATGCATAATGTGCCCCAGGTTCAGGAGTGATGTGTCACTGAAAGCCTGCAGCCCCATCATAGGTCAAACACCAGATCATTTTAATTTCTTAAAATTAATATTTGTGTATGCATACATGTGTACTGTGTCATGCATCTTTACGTTTTCACATTATAGTTACAAGGTTAATTTGCATGTATTGTTTGTTGAACGGATTGGGTTGTAAAAATGGTACACAGCATAAAATCTGAAAGGTTTGGTGAGCGTTCGGCTTCAACCAATCAGATTTTATTTGTATAGCATTTTAACACAGGAACCAAAGTGCTTCCATTACTGCAGTAAAGAAAATAGAGAACAGAATAGAAACAAGACAAACAAAGGGACACATTAAAGTGTCTCACCGCGACAATGTGCTAAAAGCAGTTCTAACCATGGAAAAACAGAGGCATTTTTCCATAGTTCTGGACCGTCAAACGATGGTCACCTCAGTGTTTGAATTTTGATCTGGAGACTTCTGAAGATGTTGGTCAGAGGACCAAAGAGCTCCAGCTGGGTGATGTTGTAGAAGATTTCATAAATAAGGTACAATTCCCTGAAAAGCTTTTTTTTTTTTTTTAACTAACATTAAAAGTTAGAAATCAACTCTAACTTTTAATTAGAGTTGATTTAATTTATTCCAGTTTGGAATAAACTCTAAGACAAACTGGAAGCCAGTGAAGGAAGTACAGGAGTGATGTCAAGGCAAGCGACAGCATTCTGGGTCTTTGAGGGTTTATTCCAAGATAAATACTTAAATATATAAAACCTGATGCCAACCATCCTCAGGAATAAACTAATTAGTAAACTGAAAGTGAGTCAGTTGTGTGTAATTTAATTTCACCATACATTCAGCTGTTCCCCCAAAGACCAGAACTCATGGAGACGCATGGTGGTGGCAGCTTCATGCTGAGGGGAATGCTTTATACAGCAGGGACAGGAAAGCTGGTTAGTGTTAGAAACACTGCTGTTCACAGAGACCCTCCATCTGATTTGAATGAGCACATAACCTCTTTAGCAAAAAGCACTAAAAGTTCATTGTCCTGAAGACATTTGGCCCATAAAAACGTCCAGCAAAAGTGGACCGACTTTCATACCTTTCCTGTCAGCCGGCAACCAGGCACTGCTTTGTGCTGGTGTATCACAGAAAGACTTAAACGCTTAAACAAAGCCAAGCAAGAAGTTACCTGTTGCTTGGTAAAACATCAATGCATCTTTATTCAGTGTCTTTTCCAATATAAACTTACCAATGAAATAAAACGCGGCAGCACGAGGTGAAAAGGTGTTGATTTTTCCACTTTCATGAAGTTCAAACCAAACGCGCCACTCTCATGATCCACGACACTTGAGCTCCAAACCAGGCAATCTGGACAAATAAAGTGCAGTTGTTTTTTTTTTTGTTCCTCAGATCAATGAAGTCATGGGGCCCCGTCCTGTTTTAGAAACAAATGTAGGTTTGTTGCCATAGCAGTTACCTGGGAAACCGATCAGCTGGTTTAAACCCAAAGATGGAGAGACAAAGAAAGAGACGAAACACGCAGCACTTATTTCCTGCTGCGCTGCGTGTGTATTTATATCCTCCCAACACCAACCTGTTCTTAATCTATGTGTTGACGCACAAAAAGCTGAAGCCATTTGCAGCCCGTAGAGTTCTGTTTTTTGTTTTTTGTTTTCTTTTTGGGGACGCTCTCACACATCCTGCCTTGCCTTGAGAATCACTCAAAAAATATACATATATAGATACAACAGAAACAAAAATCAGACACATTTCCCAGAAGAAAAAAAACACGAACAAACAAAGACGAAGCAGAGTTTGGGCTGCGTAAAACAACCTCCATCGCACTTGTGTAACTTCAGACGCAACCAGTGCTCTTCTCACTGGTTCTGCTGGGAGAACGCGGAGTGCCACAGGTGGATCTTATTGGTCAGCCGAAGCTTCTGCGCTGTCCATAAAAACGCACCGCAGGAGCTCCGGAGCAGGAGACCGAGCGTCAGGGCGCAGAGCAGCCGCGTCACGGAGCTCTCATCGCGGCCGTGTGTCCAGAGGAAACACCTGTCACCGCAGGACTGCACGCAGAGGAGCGCAATAATAATAATAGTAATAATAATAATAATAAAAAAGGACGCCACGCTCTGAGACAAGCTTGTGAGTACATCCCTATGAAATATGAGTTGATTTAACTTGGCACCGAAACGAAATGTATGCGGTTTGGAGAGCAGCGGAGATGGAGGAGCCATTTGCGCACCTGTTGAGCCGCGTTGTCGTTTGTAACTTTTTTCTTTTTTAAATGAGACTTTAGATAAAGAAAAACAATTAGTTTATTTAACAATCCCCATTAATAAAACATGCATTTACTCAGACTAGTTCATCAGAATTAAATGCATTTTGTTCTGTTGTGCGAGGTCACTTAAATAAAAATAAAATGAAAAGACTTTTTTTCTTATTTTGCCTTTCTCTCAGGATGTTATTCATACCCGAAGTTAATGCAGCTGACCTGATCTTTCAGAATAACCGGAATAATTATTATAAATTGTTTAAATTGTTTGAAATAATTTCAAACGTCCAGGGTTTCATCTTTGAAGTCGATATGCATGAATTTTATCCAGATGTTTTGTAAAGTGCATTTTAATTCACATTCCTCATCGCACTTACAACCAGGTTAAACTGATCAAATTTGCCAAATCTGACTGTTTGTTCTAAATATGCATTTAAACAGATTGTCAGTTTTTAAATGTGACCCAGTCACATAAAAAAATAAATAAATGAGAGAAATGTCCATTTCCCCTTTCATGTATGAGTGCAAATTGCATTTAATTTCATGCATATAAAAATCATGAGTCATTCAGATCAAACAGAGCATATAAACAAAACTGTATTTTTAAGTTTAGGAAAGCGTTTGGACACTTCATTAAAAGCTCTGCAGCCTTTTCCTGAACTGGGCTGAAATAACTTCAGTTAGATGCATTTTAGCATCTACTTGCCTCTTCAGGCTCTGACATCAGTCTGAGGAAGGTTTGTCTCGCGTTTCAGGGTTTTATTACAAGTCTCCCTACAGCCTCTTATTGAGATCAATATGTGGACTTTGATTTGACCCAGAACTTTCCTTTGCTCAGTTCTTTTCCCGTCCTCAGTGGGAATGTTTTAGGTCTTTGTCGTGTTGCAAGGATCAGTTGGCGGCCTTTTATGTTTTTCTTATGAAGCAACTGTTCATCCTTGCAGGCCTCAAAAGCAAGTCACATCTGTTCAATCTACTTCTGATTGCAAAGGCACATGGACTTCTGCATAAACTCTCTGTAATGTTACAGGAAGTAACATTTTAGGTATTTTGGAGACTTGTTTTAACACCTTGCAGTTTGCTGTTGGGGTAAACTTGCGTGTATGGTCAGGGTTGGGTGCCCTTACTTAGCATGTTGTGAACATGCCTCTGCGTTGGACCATTTGCATGCTGGGTAATAGCCAATTCCAAGATCATTGGGGACCTCATTGAACATTTTACTGGTGTTTTATGGTGAAGGTGCTACAGTCTTCTTTCTGAGGGCCTTTGTGACCCCTTTGAGCTTCACCGTGGTCTAATAGTCAAAGCTCTCCAAGCTAAATGTCTGAGGTTCAAGTCGTCTTTAGTGATGAGGAGCAACGAGTTTCTCATCATGTAGATCTGATGTGATCCGCTTCACTCAAGTTTAGCCATTTTAACAAGCAAGCGATAGGAAAGTGCTGATTTATAATTGCTTTTTTATAATATTTCACCAGAATGTTTACATTTCTGCTCTGCAGATTGATTTGTTTGATTATTGATTTTAAAAAAGGGTTTTCTTTTTTTTTTTTCTTTTTTGCTGATTCTTTGCAAATTGCTGCTGAATGCAACAATTTGATGTGGCGTGGAGGCTGGCATTAGATAACCCCAGTTTGCTTTAATGGAGACCTTCATCATGCCTGCATTGTTGGGTTTAGTGTCTCCCGTGTTATTTTTGACAATACCACATAGATTTACGTCGGGCTTTGGCTCACACAGTCCTGCAGAGCAATAAACAGCACTGATTCAGGGTTAGTGGTACATGTGGAAACATGCTGAGTTGTCCCAATTTGGCTTTTTTTTAAAATAGTGCAAACTCTGCTGTTAGTTTTCCATTACTATGCTTTGAAACAACTCTTTTGTCAATTATCTTTTGTATTTCTTATGTCTTTTTGAAGGAATTCAGTGACTGTCTGCTGGACAACTCTCAACTCAATAATCTTGTCCATTATTGTGCCATTATGTAACTAGAACTTAACAGTTTCTGCTTAAAAATATCTAATATTCTAAATTTAAGAGAAATTCAATTTTCATAACTCATACCCATTATGTTTCAGCAAATACATGGGAGTTTAATTGACGACTGTGTTTCAGCTCTTCAGCATTCAGGTGTTTTTATGCCCTCTCTCTGTTGGAGTGCTCATTTACACTTCTCTCCATCCAATGTGTGTCATTAATTACAGAGGGCTCCTGAGTGAAACCTGCTCCCCTGCTTCTGCCACTGTCTGGTGGGAAAATGTGGGTTCTGGATAAGATCCGAGGTTCGGTGGAGACCAGTGTGCTGAGACAAGGAGACAACGGCGACAGAAAGGCTGCCGCTGCACCGTACAGCAACGTGCTCACTCCCGACAAGATCCCAGACTTCTTCATCCCCCCAAAGCTGGTCAGCTGCCCTCCAGAGCCCGAGGTGCCGAGCATCAAGCCCAAAGAGGGGCTGCAGCCGTCCACTTCTGAGCAAACCATCAGCAGCAACAGGAAGATCAGCAGTCCGAGGAGCCCTCGCCTGGTGGCCAAGATCGCAGGAGATACAAAGAACCTGCTGAGAGCAGCGAACCGCCACATCATCCAGATAGAGAGTGCGGATGACGTCGTGGCTGGGGACACCAATGCAGACCCCCAGTCGCAGACGGCGATGTCTCTGCCATACGTTCCCAAGACTCAGACATCTTATGGCTTCGCGACCCTGAAGGAGAGCCCCCACACTCGACGCAAAGAGTCCCTGTTCCACTGTGAGCTGACCAGTCCCATCACTTCTCCAAACACCCAGAGGAGGACTCCAGGGAAGGGCAGTGAGACAGGGAACCATCTGACCCCCGCCGACTGCAACACCTCCCACATGAACCCCTACCGGTACTTCAGTGGTGGAGAAAGTGACACCTGCTCTTCCGCCGAGTCCTCTCCCTTCAGCTCTCCGTTGCTGTCCCGCTCCGCATCCCTCCTCAAGATCTTCACGCACGAGACGCAGGCCAAAGTGGTGAAAGCCAAGCGGACGCTGGCTCGCCACAGCTCCCTGTCAACAGACGAGTGCAGCTCGGCCGAGCCCAGCCCCAACATCCAGCGGCGGCTCCGCGTCCCGTCCCTTCACGGCGCCGGAGGAGCGTCCGACCACGGCCTCCAGCGGGAGCACACCATCAACCTGCACAAGGGCGGCACGGTGAGGATCAGCGCCAACTACGACTCCGGCACATCGCGCCTGCTCATCCGAGTCCTGGTGGCTGAGAGTCTGTACGACAAGCACGTCGACATCAAAAGCATCAACTGCTGCGTGTCTGTGTACCTGAACCCAGGCAAGCTGCAGAAGCAGAGGAGCAACATCATCAAGAACAGCCGCAACCCCGTCTTCAATGAGGACTTCTTCTTTGACTCCATCAGCCCTGTTCAGGTGAAGAACCTTTCTGTGAAGTTCAAGGTGGTGAACAAAGGCACCAGCCTGAAGAGGGACATGCTGCTGGGAGAGAGGGAGGTACCACTAGCAAAGTTGCTCTCAGGACTCTAAAACCACAGCAGATGGAGCTTAAATTGGTAACTTGGGATTTTCAAAAAGCAGTTCTGATAAAAGTTTACAAGCAAGCCTCTGACCTACTGTAGATGACTCTTTAGGCATCTTGCATTAGTTTAGATCCAGATCAGTCAGTCATCATGGCTGAAGCTCTTGCTAGTCTGAAATTAGCGACCAAAGTGGATTTCTACAGTCTTGAAACAATTCAGATCCCAAAAACAACACTGGTTTATGAAAACTTGACTTTAATTAGAGTCATCTGTGATTTCTTACATTTCACACAGGAATTGGAGGCAGGGTATCTGCAATCATCTTCCTGTGTGAAACATAAGAAGAGAAAAGTTCCTTAATTCCTTGTTTCTCCATCACGTTGAAGCTCTGAGGTTCTGGTTCAGTTTTGTGTGGGTCCACTCCTGACATGGTTCTGTCAAAGCTGCTTCTCACCTGAAACATGCTTAGCCCTGGCTAGACCAGCTGTTAGCTTCAGGCTCTGGGACCAACAAACTTGGGTTTATAATTAATAAAGATGCCAAGAGTTATTCATTGCAGGTAAGCTATTAGCTGCTTGTAACCTTTCCACAGAACCTCTTCTGACTGAAGCTGTACTTTGGTGTTTGCACTGTTTTCTCCATCACTCACTGACTTTAAGGGGGAAGAATCTATAAAGAAGAAAGGTTTTCAACATAAGCTCAGAGAACGACCTCCCTGGTGTACACAAATGGAGGATTTAACTCACTTCTTCTCCTAAAAATGGATTCTCATCGAACCAAACTGAACCCAACAGCACCAGACGAATGTGGCAGATGAAAGCTCTCCATTCTGAGCACGTCTCCCGGCCGAATGTCCCGAGCCAGGCACTCCCGGCTCAAAGGTTGGATGGCACCTGTGCGTCAGGCTGTCTCCTGTCCTCCCGCGCCAACGTCCTCGCTGTGGTTTTATTATTGTAATGTGACTGAAATCCGCGGCAGCGCAGGATTTTTACATCGCCTCCACCATCTGCCGGCACAGAGATGCTTTTGTGAACGAGTGCACGCTTTGAAGTGGCCCTGGATCCTGATGTGCAAATGATCCTTTGATCTGCAAGGGTGAAGGCAAGGAGCGAAGAGAGCGCCCACATTTACATGCACATCAAAAATGGAATTACAATATGATTGATTAAGCAAAGGACTGCAATGATCTGATTAAACTTGATTAAAACACTCAAAATGAGAAATGTTACACAACAACCAATACCTGCTTCCTCATCAGTACCGCACCGTCTCAGTTTTGCTTTCACGGACCAGATCCACCCAAGGTTAAAGCATCAAAATCAGACCTGTTTTCAAACACGTTGCATTTATACGGTGATTTATGTAGCATCCTGTTACTGCGCTCGGTTTCTGCTTCAAATTTCATCCATTAGCTGTCAGCTTGAGTACAAATGTTTGGGGCTCTATATATCTCGCTCAGAAATATTAAAATCCATCACCTCTACATACCTACTTTGACCAGTATCAATATATAACTAAATTAGAGCTTCCTGTAACCTTTCGCCACATCTACTGTAGTTTGACTTTTTGTGAATATTTTTAAATATGCTTATTGGAAATGATCCATTTCCAAGAACAATTGAGAACATACTTTAGGAGGAAAATTTTCAGCTGTCTTCTTTAAAACCCTCGCTTCAGAATAATTAGTTTTTTCTCCAAAACTGATTATGCTTGTATAGAGGACTGCTCTATACAAGCATACAGGAATCTATTTAGAGATTCCTGTTCAAAATCACTAAATAGTTCTTGCTTTGGAGGCTCTCAATAAAGTTTTATTAGACTATATTTTGACAAACTGAAAATTCACTATGTCAAAAGATATGAAAATGCTGGGACCCGTAATTCTAAATCAATCAATGCAAGATTATTTCATAAGTGTGCAGTTATCTTATTTATTTGATTTTCAACATTGTGAATAAACTGTCTTATTTTTTTTTCTACAGTTAAATATTGTAATTACAGAACTGTTTTAAACAATAGTTTCCTACATGAATGCACATTAACCCTAAGAAAGCAAGTGATGCAAAAAAAATAAAATAAAAAAATACTAATAATAATACACAACCACACATTTCTTGTGGGTCAGGAGACATTTTTGATATTAAGGGTTGGCAATACAAAAAAAAAACTGTCTCAGTTTTACTGAAGTTGCCTGTAAACGTAAAAATGCTCTGAGTGAAACTTAGGAGAGGATTTATGCTCAATAACATCCCTGAACAAATGTGTCCCATTGTTTGAAATATTGCAATCTTGTATTAAGAACAGGTGACATATTTGACCCTAAAACATTTTATTCTTATTTAAAAGGTAAACAAAACCACTCAGGTAAAGTCAGCGCTGATATCACTCAGTTTAAAGTTTAAAGGAAGAGGGGAAACATGTCAAACTGATGCATTTGTGCGAGAGCATAAAACAGCAACAGGTTGGAGGATTTCACTTGAGTTAAACTCCGTCCTGCAACTCCAATGGTCTACTCAAACCCAGCATTAGATTAGAAACAGACTTTATTCAGATTCAAACAGCTTCTGGAAATCTCCAAGGGGGAAACAAACAAACAAACAAACAAACAAACAAACAAACAAACAAAAAAACCCCAGAACGGTTGGACGGATTTTATATTAGTGTTTGCAGTAATAAAGGTAACATATATACCTGTTTGATGAAGCCTGTTTGACTTCCTGATTGATTTTCCAGCTGCAGCTGCCTAGTGTGGGCAACATGATCAACTCTTGTGCAACCAAGCAACAGGCACTCACTAAATTGGTACATGCCCATCATCAATCTGATACCTTACTAATAAGCTCTTACATCAGTTTAAAAGCCCTTAAATGCTCAATTTCTCTCCACTTTAATCAAACTTATTAAATGAACACACGTCCGGTGAAATTTTAAGCCCATTTAGAGTGACGTTGGTGGCAGAAGGACAAAGGACAAGCTCATTAAACTCATTAAACCCTGTAAATTCTTGATTTAAAAAAAAAAATTTTAAAGTCAGTCGTCGACGTATGCAACCGGTCTTTAGCCGTAGTGCCTCTGTATTAGCGGTGTGCATGTAAATGTGTTACTTTTTTAAATACGTGAGATTAGAGCGTCAGTGCGTACCAGCAGCATGGCGTCAACACGTCACCGGTGTTTGCATGACTTGTTCAAAGTTTTCTGAAACCCTAAAGCCTTACTGTGTGTGTGAGAGAGACGGTGAGAATGACCGAGCCGCGTGATTTTATCCAGAGTTGTTCACTTTCTCTGTATGAAGTGGGGTATTTTTTATTTTTATTTATTTTTTTATTTTTGGTAAAATGCCTTTGAAACTTGCCGTACGCTGGACTCGCTCTGTGTTTATCTACTCGCTTGTAAACAGGACTTACGTTTTTGTCGAGCGACTTGACGATGCGCCGGCGAGCGCGCGCCGACGCGTTCTCAGCTTTAACGAGAGAGAAAACGTCACGGAAACGTCACGGAAAGCACCGAGACTCTGCGCTCCGAGTTGAGAGAGGAGAGAGAGGAAAAGAGGAGAGAGAAAGAAAGGAGAGAGAGAAAGAGAGGAGAGAGGAGAAGAGAGGAGAGAAAGAAAGAGAGGAGAGAGGAGAAGAGAGGAGAGAGAAAAAAAGAGGAGAGAGAGTGACGCTTTTCCCACCTGCGGCTGCCCCGTTGATGTGCTCCGTGTCGTCTCCCTGTCGGCCGTCCTCTGAAGGACTGGATTTGGTGACGTGCTGTCATCTCTGCTGCCTTCTTGCCGTCGAGCTGCTTCCTGGTCTTTGCTTGCTACTTTGGATTCAAGCTCCCGGTAAAAACCCAAACTGTGTCTCTGAGGTGTCTTCTGGCATGGCTGAACTTCCTCGGATGTGGCTCAATTTTAGCACTTCTTTAAAATAAAATGAAATAAAATGAAATCGTGCTTTTGTATATCGAGGTAAAACTTTGCTTCTGTCACAAAGAGTGATTCCTATAGTGATGCACATGGTAGCTGTGATTTGCTGACTGTTTGATGGAGTGTTTCTTTTAAAGCTGTACAGTAGTGCTCTGCCACTTTTTAGTCCCTGATTTCTGAACCAGTGTTGGTGGCCCATTGTACCTGAAGACTACTGTACAACATGGAGGCTTTGAGTCAGTGATAAAGTTGTGAAGGGTGGTGTTGAAATAAACCTGAAGAACCACATGTTAGTTCTCCACTCAGTTGAACTCTGCAGAGTTCACAGCTCTTCTGTCTGAGTCCCTTCTTCAACTTTATTCCCTTTTTTTAATTATTTGGTGTTGTTTGGTTTGCATATTCTGCTTATTTTAAGCACAAAAGAATTTTGAGTTAAGGGAACTGGAAAACATTTATCTGCTTTAAACTCAAAGCTGAATCTACAGAGGAATTATCAGCATTAACTTTCCTTAGTGGCCACCCTGCTGCTGTGGTTCAAATCTGTCCATTTGACAAATTTCTAATTTAGATAAAGGGCAAAGAGGCTCTGCTGATGGCAATTTAAATAAGAAACCATCAATATCCGTGTATGTGTGTTATACTGACGGTGACTTTGTTTCCTTTTGGCTTGTTGACATTTTGTTTTCAATGAAAATGTAAATGTGGTGATGTGTTTTTTCCCCCCCTCCTGTCTCGAGACGTTTGCTCTGACAGATGAAGCTGAAAAAGTGCCAATCCGATACTTGACTCTTGATCGTTAACTTTTCTTTAAACGTAGACGAGTTGTGTAGAAGTTAATGTTGTGTTTCTGATCTGTGTGGTTAATTATGTTCACACTGTGATGTTACGACAACTGACAGCTGTTCTCTCTCTGTGTGTGTTAATGGGTTGGAGATACTTTCAATAAAACGTCGCTGCAATCACTGGTAATGTCGTTGTCGACTTGTACCTTTTTTTTTTTTTATATAATTTTGAAAGAGAGAAACACTTACTCTGTTTGAAGACCAGCTCTAAAGTTGGACACATTGCTGGTGTTTTTTTGTGTAAAACGTTTATTCCACTCAAACTTTTTCATATTTTCTCCCTTTCAAACAATTCACTGTATTTATTGGCATGACAAATAGAAAGTTCTGCACAGAGGGTCCTGGGTTGGACTCACGCTGCTGTCTTTTTGCATGTTGGTCTGGCTCTTCCAGATGCAGTTTGTTCACTAATTATCTCTTAACAAACAACAAGGTGGCTGAAATAATTGAATGGGCAAACATTGCGTCCTGAGAAGGGTTTAAAATTTTATGCTTTCATCATTACCTGCTCTTTCCAATTACCTGTTGAATGCTGTTTTTTTGCTCATAATGTCCTGCCACTTAAAATAAAAACAAAATCTAGTAGAGTTGCTGGGCCTTATCTACAGTAGCATCAGAGGTGCGCACACAAATGGGAACATGAAAATATCTTATCACTGCCATGCGATCAGTAATTGGCAGGAAAAAGCAGCGCACAATATATATATTTTTGCCTCAGGGAGGAATTAGTCTTAAACCTGTCCGTGTTTGAGACAAATTGTGTGGAAGTCGAGGTGAAACAAGAAGCAATGAGCACGGATAGACCTAATAATGTCAGCATCTGTCCTATTCTGCTCCCCTTGGTTTGTTTTCACATCGTTTTATTTGGAGTGGATATGTTTGTCGTCTCAAAGTCAGGGAGCAGAACAGCGCTCAGTTAATGACACTCCACCGAGGTTATATTGTATTTACAGCCCTATAAAGTTTTCAATGAACTATAGATAACTGTCAACCACAGAGGTCAGTTTGACAGCTGAAACCAAAAACACTAAAAGAGCCTTTTGCCTGATTTCTATGAGGCCAAACTGTGTCTGGCAACTTTACAGTGGTGACGAGATGTTTCGAAATGAAACGGCATTAAAAGCAAATCTGGAACATTTCTTGCAATGTCAAAGGAAAACCTTTCTCGTATTTTTCCTCCTGAAACTGAGCTGTAAAGCTTCCCAACATGAGAAACTACAATAAGCTTGAGACGGTCCTGGTCTGGTCCAGATAAGGTAATGTTTGTTTTAAGACTTTAATATTTTAACCCATTGTTAGTATTATTGTACAGTAAATAATTTAATTGCTTTGGGGGGGAAAAAAAATCAACTTGAATTCAAACAAAATCTGGAAGCGAAACCAGATGTAAAAAAAAAACAACCTTATTCTTATAGAAAAAATTAAGGCAAAAACTGAAAAAGGATATTTACAACAAAAACCTAATTAAATCTTCAAAGGGAACCAAATGTTGGATGAAAATATTTCAACTTGAGTTTCTAATTAAAGAGAAGCTGCATTTCAGTTGCATAAATAAAGTTCACAGTGAGATGTGACGTTGAAAAGATACAGAAATGTTTAGATAAAAGTTGAATCCATGTATTTCTGGAAGAACACAGTTCATCACAGTAAAACGACAAATAATACTCAATAAAACATGACGTGCATTATCGAACACTTAATTTGACGAAAGGTAAAATATTCAGCGTTGGGGAGGGGGAAAATGTGCATAAAAGACAAAAAGCACCAGAAACCAAAAGGAAAACAACTTTAGCAACAACTAACCGCTCACTGCTGTGATGGTCATAAAGCGTCTTTAGTGTCTTCTTCTTTGTCTCTCTGCGAGTCGCCCTCTGATCACTTCAACTAATGGAAACCAAGTCAGAAGCAGCGAGGCAGAGAGCCATCTCCCCAGTGTTTAACAGGGTCCATTACCACCAGCCATGCTTCCACAGAAAGTATCCAAAATCCTCCTCCTCCCCCCTATTCTAAAGTAAAACATCTCCACCGCAATGTTCCTAAAAAAAGTTCCTATTCTTCAGAGTCAGCGGGACCCTTGGCGAGCTACAGTGTTGTACCCATTATCGTGCCTGACCGCTGACACCAAATCAAATGGAAAAGTACGAGCACATTTCTCTGTGGCCGAGGGGGAGATGCTGGAAACACTGGAGATCCACATCAGGTCAACAGCTTGGTGCTTATAAATGGAGCGGTTTTGTCTCTCTGGCCCACTCCTGTCCCTGAGGGAGACACATTGTCTGGTCTGGCTCAGAGCACAGATTTAGGTGCATATAGGAGCTTTAAAAGCAGCAGAGGGGCGTTCGTGCCGTGCAGCTTACTCTGTGAAATCTTTTTTTTGTTTTCATGAGTAGATCACGGCATAAACAGATGCAGGTGGAAGCGGTTAAAGTGAAAGCACGCTGTGACTTTGGTGAAGAAGGAAAACCAAGTCACTTGTTATCTGGAGCTGGCTGAACTGGATTTGAGCAGAGGAAAATAAAATCTCTCTGCAGAAGAATCACAACATTCGAACCAACGGCATAAAAAAATATATTTCTAATATATCAGACAAATACTGCATATCATCCACAGATGACCTGCATCTTGTCGTAATTTTCAGGTAGAATTAACAGTTTCGTTGACAAGTCTCCCAGATCCTGAAACACCGTAGCAATACATCATTGGATTCACTCTAAAAACATTCAGTGTTTTTCAAGACATCAAGATACTTTTGTGACTTTTCGCCTTGTTACTTTTCCCTGGATGCTGAACCATGAAGGTCACGCTTACATGAGGCGAGTGACGCCTGCAGTTCCTGAGACGTTTCTCTCCAAGGATGTATGTCTATATTCTTACAGCTGGAATCCCAACACCCCAGAAGCGGCTTTGTGATCTTTTCTAAGATGACAGATGTCAATAACTTGCTCTTCATATCTTTTTCTATTTGTGTTGGATTGAGTTATGGTGTTTTTTTTTTCTTCTTGGGGTCTTTTAACCTGCTTCATGCTGTGCGTCAAGTTCTAATTAAACAAAATGTGTTTGTTTTGCAGTACGGGCCGCAATCAGGCCAGCATGTCGCAAGGGAAATTAAATCCAGTTGAACTCAGCCTGACTTTCCAAAAGATAAAGTTAATCATCCTTAATTAGGGATTTCAGAATGAGGAAGAATACTGTCTTAACGAAGGGATGTGGATATTAAACTGGCTGTTTAGTTAGTGTTTTCTTTTTGTACTTACTCGTGTTACCTAAATGCATCTGATGGTCTGTAACATGTCAGTGTGACAAAACAGAAGAAACGTACGCTGTCAAATATCACGCTATACTCATCATTTCAAAACTTATTTCATTACAGGAGATCTTTTACAATAAGCAACAAACAACTAAATGACCAGCTTTATTAACACGTCTGCTCTCCAAGTATTTTAAACAGCACTTTGGTTTCCACAATGACCCATTAAAAGATAAAACTCTGTAAATAAAATCTCTTTTTTTCCCCCATTATTACTACACATGCATATTCTGAGCTTTCATTAATCCTCATTTGCATTTTGGAGACTCTAGGTTTGTCCTGGTTTTGAAACCATTGTCACTACTTTGTGTCCCTAAAATAAAAATATCTTGTGCATCCTCTGGGTTATCACTCATGCATTCCTTTTGTAAAATGTGTTTAATCTTCCAGGAGCTATTAAATTATTGCAGCTTATTACTCCAGTAAAAAAAAAAAAAAAAATTAGGGCTTAATCCGTTTATTGCACGACACTTGAAACCAAAGCTTGAGTTTTCAGCTTCTCATGGATACAAATTGGCCCTCTCAAGCAGTCCCCACTGATTAATTATCATACCATGTGATCGTGAGAGGGAGGCTGTGAATACCAGCCTGCCTAGAGACACGAGCTGCGGTGCTGAGTTCATTGGCTGTGCAGAGATGACAGAAAGATTCATAAAACACATGCTTAGATTTTTTTCATAATTTTTTTAAGCACATGTGAAATAAAAAAAAAACATGCAATTTGCCTGCTTGATGCACTCTGTGTGAGATCAGGAGGGGGAAGTGACAGCTCTCCTCTGTGTGAGTGCTGAGCAGGCTCCCGAAATGCAATAGAAGTAATTACGGCATTCAGCGGTGCATGGAGAAAATGCAGATAACACCTGCTCTCAGAGAGAACTCCTTCAGCTGTGATTTCGCCCGTCTGTCCTGGACAATTACAGCCTGAGGAGAGAGTAACACCTTTTGAGAGAACGCTTTTAATGCTGGGAAGGCTGAGGCTGGACTCTTCACACACAAACGACGGCACCTCTGTGTGCAGTTCTTTATTTGCATAAAAAGGAACAACAACAACAAAAAAAAGTCGATAGATACACATTTTATATTCACTATAAATATAACCTAATTGCCTCTGAAGCCTGCAATTACTCATAACTTTGCACTCACACAGATGGTTTGCATCCTCTTTCTAGATATGTTGCTTTACGCTCATTTGTAGTGATTAGCGCAATTAGGCGTCTGCCATGGGGCTTTTAGCTGATGTTCTTTTCCAGTAGCTGATTGAGCTTAAATTCTTTTATTACCAGCCTCCGAAGCACTCAGCTCAGTCGTTTTGTATCGTTGGCACAGAGGGAGTTTGATTCAGTGGTCATGCAGCTCCTCGCAAGCAGCAAGAGTTATCCTCTGCCATTTGGCAACGCGTGTTTGTTTTCTCTTCAACATGCTGCATGTTGGAGTCGTAACAGATTAGTGAACATATACCGGCAGTTCTAAGAACCCTTTTCCTCTCTAATGTGGCTCCTTTGTTCTGTAACTGCTGAAGGCCCGTGTTTCACCTTCTAAGGTTTTACAACTTCGCTTCAGCTCCGTTTCTCCCACATGACTCTGTCAAGAAAGACAGGGAAGCAAAACAAAAATCCCTGCACAACAAAAGCTGAAACAGTTGCAAGTCTATGTGAAAAGTCGAAGTTAAATACCTAACATAAGAAGACACAAACCTTTTCCCTCACTTTCTGACTTCTGGTCAGAAAAACTAAATCCTGTTTAATGTCGTTGGAACAATAGGACGGACTGAATGAGTGATTTAAAAAAAAAAAAAATTTAAATTTAGAAGTTT